ATCTCTGATGGTTATTTGAGGTCGGCGATATTCCTGGGATGTCGCATAAATCGACCAGTAGAGGGTGTCGTGCTCTCGATGGGATTCGGGGCATGACAGTTACTCTACTATTGCTTCTTTCCACGAACTTCATACATATAGAGAAGTTCGTACTAATCCTCTTTAGCAGTAAGCAATGGTGGATGAGTTGCAAGCGTTAGATAAATCTCATACTTGGGATTTGGTTGATTTGCCTCCTGGAAAGTCTGCTATAGGATGTAAATGGGTGTATAAGATAAAAACAAAGGCTGATGGTACGGGGGAATGCTACAAAGCTTGACTAGTAGCAAAATGATTTACTCAGGAGTATGGAATTGATTATGGTGAGACATTTGCTCCGGTTGCACGTCTTACATCTATTCGAAGCCTTCTTATTGTCGCCTCTATCAAGCGATGGCCTCTGTTCCAGATGGATGTTAAAAATGCCTTTCTCAATGACGATCTTACTGAGGAAGTATATATGGAACCTCCTCTTGGATACACTACTTTTGATAAAGTGTGTCGATTACGTCGAGCATTATATGGATTGAAGCAGGCTCCTCGTGCGTGGTATTCAAAATTCAACTCTACCATGGAACGGCTTGGATTTAAATCCGGTCCCTATGACCATGCTCTATTTATTCAACAGACATCTTGTGGGTATATTCTACTACTTTCATATGTGGATGATATAGTTATCACTGGCGATGATTATACATGCATTACAAAACTCCAGCAATATCTTAGTTAACAGTTTGAAATAAAAGATCTCGGCAAACTCAGTTATTTTTTAGGCTTGGAGGTTACTTCAGATTCCTCTGGCTATTATCTTTCTCAAGCTAAGTATGCCACTGATCTTCTTTCTTGAGTAGGACTTACTGATAACAAGACTGCTTCAACTCCAATCGAGACTAATGCTAAATTTAATGATAAAGATGGGACTCTTCTTTTGAATCCTACTCTCTATCGACAGCTAGTTGGCGGTCTTGTATATCTCACCGTGACTCGTCCTGATATAGCCTACGCAGTCCATATTGTTAGTCAGTTCATGAATGCACCGCGAGCCACTCATTTTGCTGCTGTTCTTCGCATTCTTCGCTATGTCAAGGGCACCTTATTTAACGGTCTTCACTTTTTTGCTCAATCTACCTAGAAGTTGATGGCTTACTCTGATGCTGACTGGGTTGGAGACCCCCTTGATTGTCGCTCTACCACCGGCTATTGTTTCTTTCTAGGTAACTCACTTATTTCATGGCATAACAAGAAATAGACTGTTGTCATTCGATCTAGTATGGAAGCTGAATATCGTGCTCTTGCTGATACGACAACATAATTATTAAGGTTGCGATGGCTATTAGCGGACATGGGCGTCCATCAAAACGGTGGAACGGTACTATATTGCGACAATCGGAGTGCTATCCAAATAGCACATGACAATGTTTTTCATGACCGCACCAAGCATATTGTGATAGACTGCCATTTTATTCGCTCTCACGTGCTTCAAGGCATTGTTCATCTTGTCTCCACTTCATTGGTTGATCAACTTGCTGATATATTCACTAAAGCACATTCACCAGGACGTTTTCAAGATCTTTTCTCCAAACTCCAGTTGACCTCTTCTATGTCACCATGAGTTTGAGGGGGGATGTTAGAAATATATTGTCTGATTTTAAGTATCTCTTGAATCATGATATTGTTATTCTGATTCTGAGTATTTTTCGGATCATAATCTCGTTATTCTGATTATGAATATCTCTCAAAATCATAATCCCGTTATTATGATTGATTGTAATTTCTATTGTAATATTATGCTACTATAGTTAGTCATTCTGTAAAGCCTATAAATAGGCTCATGTATAGTTCAATGAAACACAGAAAATTTCACAACTTTATTTTCCGCTTTACATTTATCACTCAAGCTCCTGGGTGATCGTGGCAGAGTAGGAGAGGACTAATGCTAGGAGAATGATGAGCAGCTTTGTTTGGAATGATGCGGCCATAATTGAGCAAAGGGAACGAAGAAATTATACGTGGTAGAGTGTTTGGCGATGGAAGATGAAACAATGGAACTAGCTATATAGCAAGGTGTTCGCGTTGACATTATTTATCTATATGCAATACCACTAAATAAAGACCAAATTGGTAAGAAGAGTTCTAAGATACATGTGCGCACGATGCATCTACTAGTAGCGGCATTTGGGTCCCAATGTTGCTCCTTCATTTGCGAAAAATAACAAAAGAAGTAAAGTCACAAGCTCTGTCCGGTGGAAAACACTGCCAATAGTATCGGAAATGTGCACTACAGCTTTTACCTGACTACGAAAATGACTGATGATGTTTTCACGAAAGCGGTAGGTTTTGCTGAGTGCAGCGTTGACCCGACGATGCGACAGTCGTTCTGTATATATCATGTCCTGTTCCCATCCAAGACACATGCTCTCTATTTGTAAATTTATTTTCGTTTTGATTCTCTTTCCCCTCATTGTTTCTCACTTGCAATTGTATCTTCTTGAGACGAAATTCTTACATTGGATCTATATTCACAGACCGCACGTAGTCAAGCCATCGAATTCCAAGGAACTCCCGTGTGGATCAGACGTGGGATCCACATAAAAGTCTGATTTGGATCGAGTTTAGGCAAGTTCTTCTTTTCTCTTAGGGTAAAAAATCACTTCTCTCTCTCTCTCTCTACAAACTTTCTAAAGCGTTGCTCAACCAGCCCCTGATTGGTGGGTGTTTTACATCTCTCTCTCGTTTGTGAGGTCACATCGAACACGATTGTTGAGAGGCCATGCGATGAGCGTGGCGAAGATGTGGTAGTTGAAGAGACAGAGAGAGTTCTTTTTCTTTTTTATAAATTTAGCTTATTTCGGGACCAAGGAGGGCGACCTGTACCACGCGGGTGTGGTCGGGGTGTCCGCTGTCTCAATACCATCCTAAACCTGTGCCGCCCAGGTCCGGCAGCGGGTAGTGTGTGCGGTGTAGTGTAAATGCAAGGCATGCACAACATGTTATGTCATACAGCGCTTCGTGCATAAAATAAACCATACATCCAAACACCTCCCTGCAAAACAAGGGTTAACAATCACTCCTCCCCTTATACCTCCCATTCTGCAAAAACATTTAACACCTAAAATGTTAGGGACGTACCTGGGATCCTCGCTGCCAAACAAAAATATTTTTTGAAAAGAAAAACTGGCCTAAGTCCACTAAGAGTTTTAACTCAAGTCCCCAGTGGAGTCGCCAAGCTGTCGCGACCTAAAATTTCTCTCAGACTAATGGATTGTTAGGACTAAACCTAACTCGGGCCCTCCCAAGCCCTACCAATTCGCAACTTAGGGTCTAAGTTTTTAACATGCAAAAGTTTTCATACTTGGAGTCGCCACTAATCTATTTATGGTAGGTCGATTAGAAACCTAAATAAAACATAGGGAGATATGTTTTATTCCTACGAACCAGAGATTCTAAGCTCGGGGACTTGGTTACGCTAGATCTAGTCTAACGCCCTTTCGGTACCTTTTCTTTTCAAAAATGTTTTGGCAGGCAGTTTGGATCCATTTCAACTTAGTTACTAACATGTGAGGTGTTCATGCGAGTGCGCAAACCACCAATTTAACACCCAGAAAGCATTAAATAAATTGCAAGTTTGGAAGAATTACTTACCTGGAAGCAACGTAAGCATCTGCATTGTTAGCTAGAAAATCACATTGACACCCTAATATGATTTCTAATTAACAAGCGATTCACTCAATTTCTTTTTTGGATTTTCACTTATTTAAATGAAATCTAGCCTATATGCAATGACATGCGAAAATGACATGCGATTAATGCAACCTAGCATGCAAACTATATGTCGTCCGACGACGTGACCTATTTCTAATGACAGGACGAATGATTATTTTTGGTATTTTCTCAATTTAAATTCGGAATAATAAAAATGCCTAAATTAACATGCAAACTATGATGACTTAATCTACCCTAGCATGATTTCTTTTTAGGATTTTTGTTAAAATTCGAAATAATGAATAACCTGAATAATCTATTAAAATAAGAATATTACTTAATTTAAACTAGGAAATAGATCATCTCAAGTCCTAATTTAAATTAAATAACTACTCTATCTTCTAGATATATTTAGGATTCCTAGACATGCAAAAACTCTAATTCAAATCTAATTAATATTTTTTTGAATTTTCTGTTTATTTGAAAAAGGAAAGCAATTAAATAAACAAGGATAGCAACCACATTCAAAACGTCCACGCGATCCGCCATATTTGTTTCAAACTCGGATTAGGCACAAAAATCAAACTATCGGTCATATCTATAGGGTTATAGATATCGACGGAAAGTCGATTATTCAAATTTGGAAAGCGGATAAAAATCATTATCGTACCCAAGTGGTTATGGATAGGATAATAATTTTCCGTATCGCCGCGTATCGAACCTTAGGGATAAGGTCGGATAGTCGTCCAGATACGTTGCTAAATTAAGAAGTTTTCCTAATTTTGAATATTTAAAAAAATTGCGGATATATCGAACATTATCCTAAGATATCTAAATATCCACATGATATTCACGAAATATTCAAACACCCATATTAGGAAATTAAATATTCTGAAAATATCGGATAATGTTGAATTACCTAATTTGCAGATAATTCCCAAATTCAAATCGACTCGGGATCGAGTTTGCGGATCGGGATCGGACTCGGACGACGGGCGACGCGGCGTCGGCGCGGCGGCTCACGGTGGCGTCCGGCGACGGGCGCGGTGGAGCGCGCGGTGGGCTTTACAATGGCGTGGCTCTCGGTCAAGGACTAGCTCGCGGCTACCGCGGTTTAGGTACTCACGATAGTGGCTTCTCGGTGTAGACTTGCGGTGTGGAGCTCTCAACCCGACTGATGGGAGCTGCTTCACGGTGGGCTCGAATTGATGAAGAACCAGCGAACAGTAGTTATGTCGTAGGGAAATCTAGAGAGCAACTCAATTTGCCGCTTGAGTAAGACCACTTGGCATGCCGAGCCGATCACTAAAGAACCTGCGAAAGATAAAAACGAAAGTGTGATAGATGAGAATTTGCAACTCCTTCGTTCGCTGCAACCCGAGAATGTTGTGACCAGCCAAGTGGAGCAAAGCGACGACAGGAATAGCACGGGATTGATGTGGTGCAAAGTAGAGGGCAGCCAGGTCAACAAGGAGCTTCAGAAACACTCGTGGGATGTTGGGCACGTTGCAGGGAGCAGAGAGAATTTGACTTTGAAGACTTTGCTGCGATGGGATGTTCAATTCTCCAAGTGCAAGTCTCCTTCTTCACGTTTTTTTTTTCCTTTCATGTGCAGAAGTCCCTCCGAGAACCTTTTGGGTGGACGCTCCCCTCTCTTCTCCCTAAAAATCTGACCTAAACATGTTTATATAATGCTAACCTAGGTCAATTAGATGGGCTCTATAGTCCTAATGGGTTTAGGCTTGGGCTTAGGTTTAATTTAATTTAAATGGGCTGATTTAACTTGGGCTTTTATTTAATTAAGCATAATGGGCTGAATTAAACTCAAATTAAAACAACCGAGCCCGTTTGACTTGTAATTCCCGGCCCTTGTATTCCAAGCGAGCCGAGTCTCGTTCGATGAAATTTTAAGCTCATTCGCCACTGCCAATCTGATGCAAAAAATGCAATTAAATTAAATGGACCTAAACTATATGTTTATGCAATTTAAATATTTTTGTTTAGGGGTTAAAAATTTAATCCCTAATTTTCTATGCAAATTACACTAAATGATACGCCAAAATTTAGGTGTCAACAGCTGCCCCTCTTTGAAGGTGAGCTCGTAGAGGTTGCATTCAAAGACTAAATGATACCTAAATTTCAACCATGCAAATGCAATGAATGTTGTTTTTGTCGGGATTATGAGTCCCATTTTAAAATGCATTAAGAAATGATGTATGCTAACATGAGTGGAAAACATACCTGGAATTACTTACCTGACAGGAGTGAGATAGCGCAATTCGAGGCACGACTCGGACTTTGTATGTTGTTTGGCAAATGTCTGGGCTCATTTCCATAGGTATTGCCTGATATACGTTGATGAACTTCGGTGATCTGCAGTTAAGTCAAAACACACGAAGAAAGCTCGACGTATCCAATCATTATCTGGATTCGTGAGAACAGTTCCGATCTTTACCAACTACCTATACATCTCCATAGGTGTTTGCAAAGATTTGGCCGCTTCACTTATACCTGCTCATAAGTGAATTGCGGGGAGAACTTTTGAAGTCAAGAGGATATTCCGACCTTTACATATACCTGCTCATATGCAAAGATTTGGCCGCCTCACTTATACCTGCTCATAAGCGAGTAGCGGGGGAACACCTGGGGTTGAAAGAATATTCCGACCTTTACATATACCTGCTCATATGCAAGGATTTGGCCACTTCACCTATACCTGCTCATAGGCGAGTAGAGGGGGAATACCTGAGATTTGGGGAGAATTCCGATTTTTACATATACCTGCTCATATGCAAAGATTTGGCCGCCTTACCTATACCTGCTCATAGGTGAGTAACGGGGGAATCTTCTCGAGATTGTATGAAAATCTGTGATTTGGTGAACAAAGGGGCTAGCCCAAGTGTTCAAGGGTTCCTTGACAAAGTACCTGGATATCATCAGAGGTACCTGAAAAGGTTTGATCAATAGACACCTAAACATCATCAAAGGCATCTAGAGATCGCAAAAATGATCAAATGTGGGTCCTGACGATTGCTCGAACAGGTTAGGGACACCTAGATAGTCATAGACATCCTAGGGATAGAGATATACTTACCTGGCGATATCTCCAACTCTGAAGGTGTGTCTCCTGTTAGACACGATTTTAAGTAACATGTAATATGCATTCGCACACTGTCAAGAACACATATACACATGCACTATGATTTTCAACTGATTTTCATGCACGATGGTTTTGTCAAATCGGTATTACAAACTCCGCTGGGGAACAATCATGACAAGACAATCCGAACTTACAAGTGGGTGTCTTGAAAATGCCGAATGAGGGACTTCCGATCTAAAAGGGCTTTCTCTCATTCTCATTGAAAAAGGCTGATTTATGAGAATTACTCCATCTCACCTTCATCATGTGGACAAGGGTACGAGTATTCTCACAAGCGGTACGACCTTACCAATCTGAGAGGTCTTTGTCAGGACCGTAACATGGGCTTGGTCAATGGCTTAGCAAAAGGGGACTCTTTGAGTCAAGGCTATTGAAAGAAAATACTCCACAATCGTCTCCGGGTTTACAAGTCAAGAACCCTGCAAAACGAGATAGAAATGGACTTGCTCGCACTTCTTCGAGCTAAGCTTATAAACATCTGAATCCTTCGTTAGTTCAAGTGCCCTAATCTGAAGAGACTTTACAAGGGACGTAACGTAGGCTAGGCTCATGGGTTGAGAAATGAATAGATCATTAGGCTCAAAATGTGTATAATTGGGGTGAATAAGTTGGTGATCATCTTGGCATTGTCACCGGTCTTCTTCTTCACCAGGGACTGTATCCTCGGTAGATGCTCCATTGGCCTCGAGAGCTAATCACTTAACTTTTTAAGACTGTGGATAACCTTGACACATCTTAACATTTTCTACTCCGAAGTTCTCTTCTTTTTCTTCATTTTTTTTTCACGGGCATTGGCCTTGCTTTTACCAGGCACACTGCTTTTTCATGCCCGCTAGTTTTTCTTTTTTTTTTTTTTTTTTCATTTTTGACTTTTGACACACACTGTCTACGATGCATATATTGGCCAGCCACCCTTTGGCTTGTTTTGACCGAATGATTAACATTTGGACTTTCAGGGTCTTCGTCTTCTATCGGCGTTCCGGATATGCTGCGTGGACAATGATGGCTTTTACCCTGCCCCAGTGTGGGGGATGATCACCAATTGGGCTTAAGAAACGAATTTGCAGGCTCAATTGGGCTTAGCAAAGGATAAAGTGTGTATAGGATAGAGAAAGAAATGCTCTTCGTCATCCTAAGGCACTTGAATTTCGTGTGAATTCATCTGAAAAAAGCAACACTCGAAGATTGATGCAAGTGAGAGAAAGAAAATTTCTACTCATTTTTCACCTTATAATGCTGACTTACCTCCAGTTTGCCCCGATGTAGGGTGGTTCTTGACAGGGGTAATTTGAAAGAATTTCTCCAAGTGTTTAGGCTCAAAGTGGCAAAACAATGGGTAACCTGTAGTGTTTGGGATAGAGAAATGAATCGCCTCTCGTCATTTCGGTTGCCGTACCTTTTGCGAGATAACCCTTTACCTTACAGACATGAAATTTTTCCGCTCAACTCACTGGGGATTAGTGCATGGGACTATGTATAGGATAGGGCTTGCCTTCCATCATCCCGATGTACCTCATTCGACACATTCAAGTCATTCCACATGAGTTATCAGATTGTCTAAATAGACTTCTCCTTTGAAGTCAATGATACTGATCGACAAAATAACCATGCAGAAATTAAAGCCAATGTAAACATCTTAACTTGAAATTGGTTGAAACCATTTATTCATCAGTGAAATGTTTGCAATTCAAAGGTATAAAGCCAAACACTGGAAACTTTTGCTGCAGAATGTCAGGTTTTATCAAGGATAATACATCTTTACAGCATCAGAATTAACAGGATTGGAGAACTCACGACCATCCATTTCTGCGAGAATCAGGGCACCTCCGGGAAGCACCTTTTTAACCACATATGGACCAATGTAGTTTGGGGCAAATTTACCTCCAGGAACAGGAAAGACTGGCAGTACCTTCCTTAGGACTAGGTCATTTACCTCGAAGTGTCTTGGACGCACCTTTTGGTTGAAGGATCTAGCTATCCTCTGCTGATAGGTTTGACCGTGGCAAATGGCTTTCAAACGCTTCTCATCTATTAGGTTCAATTGCTCATGCCTTTGTTGCATCCATTCCGCCTCGGATAACTCCACCTGAGACAAGACTCGCAGGGAAGGGATCTCTACTTCGACGGGCAGGATCGCTTCCATGCCATACACTAAGGAAAAAGGTGTCGCCCAACGAGGTTCGGATGGAAGTCCGATACACCATTAGTAAATGGCAACCTTTCATGCAGCCACGATAGTTTTCAGCCGTTTTGGCCAGGATCTTCTTGATGTTCTTGTTAGCGGCTTCAACTTGCTCCATTCATCTCAGGACGATAGGGAGATGAATTCAAGTGCTGGATCTTGAACTCATTGAACAACTGATCTATGAACTTGTTGTTTAAATTTGTCCCATTATCGGTGACAATAGCTTCAGGGGCACCATAACGAGCGATTATGTCTCGCCTAATGAATCTTACAACATTCTTTACAGTGACGTTCGCATAAGATGCCGCCTCAATCCACTTGGAGAAATAATCAATCGCGACCAAGATAAACCGGTGTCCGTTCGATGCCTTGGGATTAATTGGGCCAATTACATCAATACCCCACATTGAAAAAGGCCATGGCTCAGACAACTGATGTAATTCCGTCGGAGGAACATTTATTTTATCCCCGTGAACCTGACAGCGATGACATCTTCGAACATGCTGGATGCAATCACTTTCAAGGCTAAGCCAATAATAACACAACCTCATGATCTTCTTTGCTAACATGTGACCATTCATGTGTGGACCACATATTCTCTCGTGTACTTCTTGCATGATTCGGTAGCTTCAAGCAAAGATCTACACACCTCGGTAGGATCGAATCATAGGATCTTTTGTACAGCTTTTCACCACTGACAAAGAATTTTGAAGCCATTTTCATTATGTACTTCCTGTCAGCCGGGGTGCTTCCCTCAGGAAATTTTTGTTTCTGGATGTAACTCATGATATCATAATACCATGGCTTCTCGTCAGGTTCTCCAGTTACAACCATACAGTAGGCTGGTTTTGTCAGGACTTCAATTTTCAGGGGTTCTACCTCTATTCCACCAGTCACTTGCAGCATGGATGATAATGTAGCTAGCGCATCAGCAAACTGATTATGGGATCTTGATAAGTACTCAAAGGAGATATCCTCGAATTCCTCCATGATTTCTTCGAGGTATTCATGGTACAGCACTAGTTTGGTGTCTCTCGTCTTCCACTCTCTTACAGTTTGGAGAATAATCAGAGCGGAATCACCAAACACTTTCAACTTGGTTATCCCCATTTCTACTGCGGCTTGGAGTCCGAGGATGCAGGCTTCGTACTCGGCTATGTTGTTGGTACAGGGGAACACCAACTTTGCTGCTACTGGATAATGCTGCCCATCTGGGGATATTAAAACTGCCCCAGTGCCGGAACCAGCCAAGTTTACAGCTCCATCGAAAAACATGGTCCATGTGTCTTCCTTTATTACCAAAATGCGATCTTCTGGAGAATATCTATCATCATCAGGGATTCCAGGATTTTCAGCTAACACATCAGCAATTACTCGGCCTTTAACTGACTTCTGTGGCATCGTCTGGACATCAAACTCTGAAATTAAAATCTGCCATTTGGCTAACTTCCCTACCAAAGCCGGTTGATCAAGTAAATACTTGATGGGATCATTCTCAGTCACAAGCAAAGTCTGATGATGCAGTGTATATTGTCGCAGCCTATAGAGCACCCATACTAGTACAACGTAAGTCTTCTCGGCTTCAGGATAATTCAACTCCGAAACGGTGAACTTCTTACTTAGGTAATAAATGGCTCGCTCTTTTCCATCTTCAGGATTTTTCTGGGCTAGCATCGCACCTAGAGACTCGCTATGAATCGTGAGGTTAAGGATCAAAGGTTGGCCCGACATTGGTGGGACTAGCACTGGTGGTTTCATCAGGTACTGCTTTAGTTCGTTAAACGCTTCCCGACAATCATCGTCCCATTCCACTTGAGCATTCTTCCTTAGAAGTTTGAAGAATGGCTTAGCAGTTTCGGAGAGCTGAGAAATAAAACGGGCTATGTAGTTCAATCTACCCAGGAGGCTTCGCACTTCTTTCATGGTCGATGGAGGTTGTAACTCACATATAGCCTTCACTTTGGAGGGGTCAACTTCAATGCCCTTACTGCTTACTATGAACCCGAGTAATTTGCCCGAGGTTGCTCCAAACATGCACTTCGTTGGGTTGAGACGAAGCTTAAACTCACGAAGTCTCTCGAATAATTTCTTCAAGGTATCGACGTGACTCTTCCCAGATTGAGACTTGGCGATCATGTCATCGACATAGACCTCGATTTCCTTATGCATCATATCATGGAAAAGCGTCACCATTGCCCGTTGATATGTTGCCCCGGCATTTTTAAGGCCGAAGGGCATGACCTTATAGTGGAATGTCCCCCATGGAGTGATGAACGCTGTTTTCTCCTTATCATCGTCCTTCATTTTTATCTGATTATAACCCGAGAAACCATCCATGAAGGAAAACAGCTCGAACCCAGCAGTACTGTCCACCAAGACGTCTATGTGTGGCAAAGGGAAATCGTCTTTAGGGCTGGCCTTGCTTAGGTCGCGGTAATCGATGCAAACCCGCACTCGGCCATCCTTTTTCATGACTGGCACGATGTTGGCCACCCAGCTGGGGTATTGAGTGACTTCGATGAATCCCACTTTCAAGAGCTTCATGACCTCCTCCTCTATCTTCTTTGAAAGTTCAGGCTTGGTTCTCCGCAACCTCTGTTTCTTGGGTAGTATGTCCGGATTAGTAGGTAGACTATGCTCCACGATAGAAGGGTCTAAACCCGGCATATCGGCATACGACCATGCAAAGATATCCTGGTAATCTTTCAGCAGTTGGACCAGGCGTTTTGCTTCACCTTCGGGAAGGGTTGCCCCTATCTTCACCTCTTTGGGTTCTCCGGAATCACTCAGGTTGATGGTGATAGTATGGTCTACCGTCAGGACTTTAGACCTTTCATAACGCTCTAGATCGCGCTGAAGGTCCGAGGAATCTTCGAGTTCATCAGTATCATCGAGATCAGATTTAGTGGCACATAATTCATCAGATTGGACCGTTCCCATACCTTCACGCATCATAAGATTGCCCTCTTATGGGCCTGTGCCCATTCCCTCTAACGGTCCTTCTTCGATAGCTCCAATAAAGAAATCATCGAACAGGGCAGTGATTCCCTCCATTGCATCATAAGGATCTTTAGTCACTAGAGGTGTTGGATCATCCATACCTCCCCATCCATCGGGGATAATATCACGTGGGTCAACATAGAAGCTTGGGGGCGCCGAGTATTTCACATAATAATCGAACTTGCCGCTCGGTTGCCCCAAAGTGTCGATCACCTCTTTTTCTTCATGCATCATTCTTGCAGGGCCCGGAAATGTGGTCCGGATGTTTGGAACTATGAGAAGATCGTCTCGGCCTTAGCAAAGCCACGAAGCACGGAATGTGAATGCCCCAGTATCTAAGAGGTCTTGAACCTTGTGCTTTAGAACATAGCAGTCATCAGTGGAGTGACCGACTTCTCCCAAGTGATAGTCACACTTTTTGGATGGGTCGTAGTTGGAGAACCGCTCAGGATTAGGCCGCTTCGGCTCAGTGGAAAGCAAGCCCTTTTCCCGGAGGATCGTCAATACTAGGGATAGAGACCCGGGGAGAGGAGTGAATTGTCTTCTAGAGCCTTGTCGTCGATTAGAGAACGGGTGTCTCGGTGGGCTATCTTGACATCCAGGGAGTAGTCGTGCTTTGCTTTGCTGGGGGCACGATGTTGGAACGAGTAGATCCCGATTACCTTGTTGGTGCTTTACGAACTTTGGACGCAGGGTGCTCAACTCCCTAGGATCAGGGGACTCAATAGTATTGTCAGGTACGACTGCTTTGTCATTTGGGTCGGTGCTGAAGGGCTTCGTTTGAATCATCACCCTTGGCCCTTGAGGAAAGGGACGGGTCATGGTGAGTTGTTTCAAGCAGTCCGACAGATGCGCAGTTTGCCTCGTGAGTTGTTGGAGGATGACAAAGGCCTGCTTAAGGTCCTTCTCGATATTAGCAAGGCGGTTCAGCACTTCACTCTGATTACTTGTTTTCTCTCGTGGCCAGGCGGGAACGGCCGGTGTTCGACGATCCATGATCACTTAGCTCGAGTATCAACTTCCTCGCGGTGGTGGCTCACAGCTAGGGGCGTCTCGGCTTGGCGGCTAGCAGACGTATGAGGCTCCGGGAAACAAAGACACGGACGGCGTTTATGTAGAGAAGCCGCAGTCGCCGCGAGAACAGCAAGTGGTGGACGGAGCTGCGGTTTGTGCCGGGCGGTGAGCTCACGGTGGCGGAGGAGCAACAATGAAGGAACTCGGCGAGGTTGCCCCTTGGCGAGGCTCGAGCGACGGATCGATAACTGTGGATGATCCGTAGTCACGTAATTTAAGAGAAATGAACCAAAAAAGCACATGGTCAAGACAAGGTTGGTCCATGACACGCTTTCTAGTCTTTTTCATTCTTCGTTTATTCATAAAAATACTCGTATATGAACGAGACTTTATGGAAAAGTGCTCTAAGCAAAGAAATATAAATAACACTCTAGACACAACCTAGGAAATAGACGCATCGAAATCCCCAATCATAAAATTAGGAAAACCAAAAATTAAGACTCCCTAGAAACTATGAACTGAAAACAAATTCTCTGAAGTTTTTTTTTCGCCATTTTTGTTATAAAAACGATAACAACCTCTTGTGAAAATAATTACCTATGACACACCAAGGAAATAAATTCTCTAAAAAAAAAAAGGCTTTCTTTCTTTCTTTCTTTTTTCTTCTCAAAGGACTCAATGATTATGGCTTTCAAATTAAAACCTACCTAGACCTGTCATGGACCACCCAAAAAAATACGAGAAAATAAGTAAACTGCAAGATAAAGGTTCAGAAGACTTACTTCACCTGGTAGGACCATGGCAACCACATAGACATGCGCATGAAATGTGAGGTTCGATTTCTATCTAGACTCTAGCTTGCAAAATGGAGACGCGAGGATTACCGGGCTAAACCAGTCATGGTTGTGGTTAGGCCGGGGTTCCCCTTACTCCGGCTTAGTCAAGGAGCCGACCCGGGTTGCAAAGGGTGCAACCGTGGTGGGAACTCAATGACACCGTGAAAGAACTTTCGGGACCAAGGAGGGCGACCTGTACCACGCGGGTGTGGTCGGGGTGTCCGCTGTCTCAATACCATCCTAAACCTGTGCCGCCCAGGTCCGGCAGCGGGTAGTGTGTGCGGTGTAGTGTAAATGCAAGGCATGCACAACATGTTATGTCATACAGCGCTTCGTGCATAAAATAAACCATACATCCAAACACCTCCCTGCAAAACAAGGGTTAACAATCACTCCTCCCCTTATACCTCCCATTCTGCAAAAACATTTAACACCTAAAATGTTAGGGACGTACCTGGGATCCTCGCTGCCAAACAAAAATATTTTTTGAAAAGAAAAACTGGCCTAAGTCCACTAAGAGTTTTAACTCAAGTCCCCAGTGGAGTCGCCAAGCTGTCGCGACCTAAAATTTCTCTCAGGCTAATGGATTGTTAGGACTAAACCTAACTCGGGCCCTCCCAAGCCCTACCAATTCGCAACTTAGGGTCTAAGTTTTTAACATGCAAAAGTTTTTATACTTGGAGTCGCCACTAATCTATTTATGGTAGGTCGATTAGAAACCTAAATAAAACATAGGGAGATATGTTTTATTCCTACGAACCAGAGATCCTAAGCTCGGGGACTTGGTTACGCTAGATCTAGTCTAACGCCCTTTCGGTACCTTTTCTTTTCAAAAATGTTTTGGCAGGCAGTTTGGATCCATTTCAACTTAGTTACTAACATGTGAGGTGTTCATGCGAGTGCGCAAACCACCAATTTAACACCCAGAAAGCATTAAATAAATTGCAAGTTTGGAAGTCCTAAAACAGTTTCTGACGTTAAGAGTTTTCATGGGTTGGCTACTTTTTATCGGCGATTTATGAAGAATTTTAGTACTATCGCAGCCCCGATTACTGAATGTATGAAGAAAAGGCAAATTTCCATGGGGAGAGGAAGCAGAGAATAGTTTTGCTATTCTGAAGGAAAGTTATGTACTGCACATGTTCTTGCCTTACCTGATTTTGATAAACTTTTTGAAGTGGACTGTGATGCTAGTGGAGTTGGTATAGGAGCTGTTTTATCTCAAGACCACAGACTAATTTTTAGGCGAGACAGAAGTGGAGCACTTATGACAAAGAATTTTATTCTGTCGTAAGGGCATTGAAGACCTGGGAGCATTATTTAATTGGGAAAAAATTCGTCATTTATTCTGATCATGAAGCTTTGAAGTATCTAAATAGTCATAAGAGGATTAGCAAAGATATGCATGCGCGATGGTGTCAATTTTTGCAAAAATTTCCTTTCAAATTACAGCACAAGTCAGATGTGCATAATGTCGTTGCAGATGCATTGAGTAGGAGAGCTGGCTTGTTGATTACGTTGAGCCAGGAAATTCTAGGGTTCAAGCAGCTGAAAGACTGTTATGCAGATGATGATGACTTTGGAAAAATTTGGGAGTCATATGCTACTGGTCAACTTGTACAAGAATTTTATGTGTAGGATGGTTATCTGATGCGTGGCAATCAGCTTTGCCTTCCTCGGACATCATTACAAGAGAAGGTAATTCGCGATTTACATTTTGGTGGATTAGCTGCACATCTAGGTCGTGATAAAACTATTGTTGCAGTTCGGGAGCGATTTTACTGGCCCCAATTGCGTAGAGATGCCAGCAGGTACGTACAAAAGTATTATGTTTGCCAGACTGCTAAGGGGAAATCTAATAATACAGGTTTATATATGCCATTACCTGTTCCTGACAATATATGGGAAGATCTGTCCATGGATTTTGTGCTTGGTTTACCACGGACACAAAGAGGTGTGGATTCTGTTTTCGTTGTGGTTGACAGATTTTCCAAGATGGCGCACTTCATTCCTTGTAGGAAAACTTTTGATGCAGTAAGTGTGGCCAGATTATTCTTTAAGGAAGTGGTTCGTTTGCATGGTGTGCCCAAATCTATTACCTTAGATAGGGATAGTAAATTTCTAGGGCATTTTTGGCGGACTTTATGGAAGATGTTTGATTCATCTTTGAATTTCAGTAGCACTGCTCACCCGCAGACTGATGGGCAACAAAGGTGGTTAATAGAACTCTGAGAAACTTGATTCGAAGCATTTGTGGAGATAAGCCGAAGCAATGGGATGTTGCTTTATCACAAGCAGAGTTTGCTTATAATAATACAGTTCATAGTTCTATTGGTAGGTCGCCTTTATCTGTTGTTTATACAAAGGCGCCTCAGCATACTCTGGATTTGGTACAGTTGCCTAAGCAAGCGAATAAAAGTGTAGCAGCGGATCATATGGCTAAACAGATTGTAGAAGTGCATCATGAAGTCAAACAGAAGCTAGAGGAAGCTAATCATAAGTATAAAGCTGGAGCAGATAAGCACAGGCGAAAGCAGGTGTTTGCGGTAAGTGATCAAGTCATGGTTTTTCTTCGTAAAGAGCGATTACCAGCTGGATCTTACAGTAAATTACAGCCAAAGAAGTATGGACCTTACGCTGTCAGCAAGAAGATCAACGATAATGCTGATGTTATAGACCTTCCACATAGCATGGGCATATCCAACACTTTTAATGTTGCTGATTTGTCACCGTTTCACGAGTCTACAGAGCCATTATATCCAGATCCTGATTTTAACTCGAGGACCAGTTCTTTTCAAGTGGAGGAGAATGATGCGGAATTTATTAGTGGTGCATTTCTGGACTGATTGGACAAACAGAAGTCCAAACGGAAAGCGAAACGGTGATGCGATTAGATGGTTTTTTTCTATTATTTTAGTAGTTTTTTATGAGTTAATTTTAAGGGTCGTTTTTGTAATTTTGCTATTTGATGCTTATTAACTTTCCTATTATGATTAGATTTCCAATTCAGATTAGGTAACTTTCCTATTATGATTAGGTTTCCTATTATAATTAGGTTTAACCCCTATAAAAAGGTGTTTAGGGTTTGTTTTGAATTCGTAACATTATTATCATCAATATTGAATTTCGAGATTTTTCTCTCTAAGCAAGGTTTTGCTTGAATTATTCGCTGAACGCTACGTCAATTGTTTAGATATATGAGAAGGTATTGCAAACTGCCGATTCGTTTTCACTTTAAAGCAAAAGCAAAAGGTAGTATTTTATTATCCCACCACAATTTAAAATATTATTTAAATTTTAAAAAATTATGAAAAATTACGCATGAATTTATGTGTCAATATTTATATGCTGTGAAAGTTTTAGGATTTTCGAGTTAAGAAAAGTCGAACTTCGTCCATGCAAAATTTAGATTAAGCAAAGAGTAAAGTCTATCCTAATAGGCCCAAACAGTATATTCTAACACAAAATCTCCACCAAATCGTGAGGGTCGCATTTGAGATGGCCACCTCAAAAGTCAAAAGTATTGTAGTAATTATAGCATACTCTTGCCGCCTAAAAATTTATATATGTGGCTTTGTCCACCATCAAATAGAGAGTGGATAGTTATAATTCTCAAATCATGAATAGATATGATTGCCTGTGTCGAATTTCCTTTATATTGGCGGTGAATACTCTATTTTTCCTCGTTCACACGCCACGACCATAAGCATAACCGTATTTTGTTGCATGCCAGAGAGGTTACCTGCCCTGTGAAGGGGAACTTTTTAGGCACAAGGAGGCAAGTATTGCGTGAAAGTGTATTGGACCAAGTCAATCACACTAAGAATTTATGGGATTGTCATTGGATCTCGGCAAAAGATACAAGTCCCCATACAGTTTTTGCATTTTGTGATTGGTTTGCCTACCGCGTCATCCATAGACTTATGTCATATTTCATAACTCCAATAAGTGCTATAAATTAATGTCTTCAGAACTTAATAAAATTAAGCATGTTTGATGATCATAAACAGCTTTAACTTCATGATCCAATTAAGTCAAAAAAAAAAAAATCAGTTCATTCACTATGTAAGTCATTCTATAGAAAGCGTATTCAAATAGGAAATAAAATCTTGCATATCACATTGCTAAAAGCCTAAAATCTACCAAAAATAAACACTATCTAATATTTGGCCAAAAAAACATTATTCCATTATCATTATTCAGGTATTATTACACAACTTTATTTTTTTATTTTCAACACTTCAAATGGTCAACACTTAAGTCTGAGGCCCGGTAAGGGTTTATGGAACCAAATACAAAATTACTAATAGAATAAAAAGAACAACAAATTAATGATCATTGTACCTCATTAATTCTGAAAACCCACTTTTATGCATGAGAAATGTGAAGTGTACAAAGATCGAAAAAAATTGTCTAAAAAGTCCTAAACTTATCGCATTTTTGCCAATTTAGTCTTAAATCTTTCAATTTTGCCAATTGAGTCATAAATATTTGTATGTTTTGCCAATTGAGTCCATATAACCAATTTTGACCAAAAATTGCTAACGTGGACGTCGACCATTTTACGCGGCACGATCGGTGCTAACGTGGACAATTTTTAATAATATATTTAAAAAATTTCGAATTTTTTACTAATTGTTTCTTTTTTCTTTCTTTTTATATTTTTTTACCGTTTTCTCTTCTTTTCTTTTTCTTTTCTCTTTTTTCCTTTTTCCCTCCGTCGGCCACCGCCAAGCCTCGCCCTCAAGCAAGGGTTGCCCTTGCCGGCCTCATCGAGGGCAAGGGCGGCCCATGCTCGCCCAGGCGAGGGCAACCCTCGCCCTCGATTTTGCGAGGGTTGCCCAGGCGAGGGCCGACCAAGTCTGATGCCGACAACCTCCATCGGCCATCGACGAGGCTTGGCGATTGCCGGTGGAGGGAAAAAGGAAACAAGGAAAAAGAAAAAAGGGAAAAAAACAAAAGAAAAAGAGAAGAAAACAAAAAAGGAAAAAATATTAATAAAATTTTGAAAAAATATTAAAACATTATTAAAATTATCTACGTCAGCAATTCCGGCCAAAATTGGCCGAATTGACTCAATTGGTAAAACATGAAAAGGTTTTTGGACAATTTTCCCTACAGAGATTGATTTGCAAATTTGGTTTATTAAGTGATGCGACGGATTTATAGTGATTCTCCAATACCATCCACTTGTTTAAAAGATCACTTTCAATTTGATCCATCATTTCCTAAGTCAATTTTAGTAATGTTGTTAGTCCTAAAATGGTGGAAGATTATTCGAAGAAGTTAGTTAATATTAAAAAAAAACAAAATGACCAAGCTGTCATATTGAAATTCAACGTACTTGCGAGTTCGCATTTTTTGGTGCATAGAGAGAGAGACTTCTTGGTGATGGTGGCGCCATGAGAGGCGGCCATCGGAGTTGGCAATTGTAGTTGTAGTGGCGACCCCCAGCGATGATGGGCGGCAGAATGGGCATCAACGTGGGTCAGTGGGCTACTCTATTTGGGTAAAGGAAGAGAAAAGACAGAAGGAAGAGATAGATGGGGGTTTCAGGGTGTATCTTTGGACTTCCTCAATTACCATATGATACAAATCTAATGGAGAGTCTACCCATAACTACTGGTACTTCTAATGGTACAAGAATTCTTAAACTATTGAGTCTACGGTCGTTGGATCACTAACGTTATTCTATTCTAGTTTGTTAACCTACACTGAGCGTGCGAAAGATTAGAAGTCAAGTCAAAGAAAGCTTTTCTATAGTTAAGAAATAGAGAGAGAGATCCACCAATTAGGGATTGGTAGAGGAAGGCTATAGAAAGTTCGTAGAGAGAGAGAAGCGCATTTTTTTACCATAAGAGAACGAAATCACTTGCCTAGACTTGATCCATTATGATTGGGGTCATCAAGTGGACCTCACGTTGAGCTGCATATGAATTCGATAGTTGTTCCATATGTGAGTTCCATGAAATTTAATGGCTCAAGCTCACCTGTCCTTAGATATTGATCTAAGGCAAGAATTTCCCCTTTAAAAGATACATTTGCAGGGAAATAACAATGAGGAGAGAGAATCAAAAGGGAAAGATATAACAAATAGAGAGCATATGTCTAGGAACACGATTAAAATAATGTCATAATCTGCACCACAATCATATAAACTTGACATAATGTATGTAGAATGACTAAAGCTATAAAAGACGTCGATTTTATATTGTAAAATCTAGAGAGAATCTCTTTTATTTTCTCCCACTGACACGGAGCATGTGACTTTCTTTCTTTTGTTATTTTTCTCGAAAAGAGGAGCTAGATCCGGCAAAAGAGCCGCTACTTATAATTGCCTCGTGCGCACATGCATTTTCACGTCTCGAATTTCGTAGAAGAACAATCAATCAATAATAATCCTAAGCTCTTATACCAATTTGCAACACGAACACAGAACCGTGAACAATCTCAGGGGGGAAGATCGACGAGACGAGTCTGCTATAATCGTAAAAAATGATATTACAATCACTCATTCACACTCATTTTTTCAAGTTTCTCAATCCTAAGTTAAACGTGAACCCACTAATAAAGAAAAAAGTTTTCTCATACTCTCGACTCTCATGAATGATGATGACTCTCTATACTCTCTATGCCTCTCGCTAGTTTTACACAAATTAGGTACGCTCACCGTGCACACCAAACCAAACTCGACCAAAGTCTTTTGGGGTGTTCAGTCGCACGTTTGAAGGTTTAGTTAAAGATATTCGTGTTGTTTCTTTTTTCAAAAAGAAAATCTCGTGTTCACAACCTATTCCTATATTATATCTTCTCGCACTATAAACGAGCGTACTTGTTTTCTACATATTGACTCTTCAACCTTGGACAGAGTCACAGAGTCCCACTTGGGGCACTATAAAATGCATGAAATGAAACCGCTACATTTCGAACTCGCGCAACCAATACCAGTTTTGTTATTTCTCTTCCTCGGTCACTACGTCTAGCCTATCGCTCCCTTCCCAATCCCCACGCCATGGCCTTAACCCTAACCAAGCTCCTTCTCTTCTCATTCCTTATTTCTTCCGTCGTACTCGCCACGAAATCCGAACTCCTAACCTCTAAGCGCGAGAAGCTCACTCGCTTCCACCTCTACGTGCAGGTAAAAACCACCGGGAGCAACGCCACCGTCACAATCGTAGCCCAGGCATCAACAACCAACCAGTCCGCCACGTCATTTGGTCTAGTAGACGTTTTTGACAATGCGTTGACCGCGGGCCACGAGATGAGCTCGAAGAACGTGGGTAGGGTACAGGGCATGGAGGCGTTCGCATCCCAAAGCGAGGTGGCCTTGTCGACATTCCAGAACTTCGTGTTCACGGAGGGGAAGTACAACGGGAGCAGTTTGACTGTTGTGGGGAGGAACGTGCTGTCGTTGAAGGTGAGGGAAATGCCTATCGTCGGCGGAACTGGTGTGTTTCGGATGGCCCGAGGTTATGCTCAGACCAGCACTTACTTGTCGGACCTGAAGAATGGACTCCTCGTTGTTGTGTATGATTTCTTTGTGTACCACTATTGACGGTTTAAAAACCTTGTGTTTTTGTTTTCTGGTTTTTGTGAGAAAGCTAGTTAAAATATAGGGCTCTCTTGTTACTGAAAGTTTTGCTGTTAACAAGCGAGCTTTCCATTGATTCTCCAGCATAGGATGAGGTTATGCAATACCGTTATTTATAACAGTGCAAGAAATGACAGAGTACCACAATTGGAGCCCACCTGAACGCATATCGTAAGTGACGAGACATTGCGCAACGATAGCACAACAAAACGGGACACACTAGAGCAAATAGCAAATGAAGACCGCACGCATAACATTTGTGATCCACCGAGATGAGATCCTTCGTACCATCAGTTTTTTCGTTCCATTTCTCATTTATCCAATCCATCGTAAAGTGATGTTTATAACTGAAGATTTAAAAATTGAGATTTGTTGGGAAACCAACGGAGGTAACGAGAAGCTAATCTTCGTACATAATATACATTTGTTAAACTATGCACCTGCAGCGTCCCAAGAAATTCATCATATCATGTACGGTCGCGTGCAAATGGGCGTACCGACGTGTGTGATGATTTGATTAGTAAAGATTGAAACAGTACATTTATCATCATAATGTTCACCAGCATGCGTGACTAACTTTATACACAGCTTATATACAGTGGGAAACAATATCATCTTGACCATAACATTTCACAGACATATATGGGCGTACCGACGTGTGTGATGATTTGATTAGTAAAGATTGAAACAGTACATTTATCATCATAATGTTCACCAGCATGCGTGACTAACTTTATACACAGCTTATATACAGTGGGAAACAATATCATCTTGACCATAACATTTCACAGACATATATATATATACATATGGCCAAATATGGCCAGTAAGGGAAATTAACAATGTTGGCCGTGGTCAATCAAGCACGACCAACTTATTTGGAAATGGGAAAGTATCAAAAAGTCCTAAACCTATTGTATTTGTGCTAATTCAGTCATAAACCTTTCAATTGTAAAAATTAAGTCCCAAACATTTTGACGATTTGTCAATATGGTCCATACGGCCAATTTTTTAACTGGAAATCGCTGACATATATGCCAACCGTCCTATGTGGCGACAGTTGGCAATACTCACAACGGGCGGCAGAATAGGCGTCAGCAATTGAATTAGTGGGCTACTCTATTTGGGTAGAGGAAGAGAAAAGACAAAAGGAAGGAAGAGAGAGATGGGGTTTCGGGGTGTAATTTTGGACTTCGTCAATTACCATATGATACAAATCCAAGGAGAGTCTACCCAAAACTACTGGTACTTCTAATGGTAAAAGAATATCACATCCTTTTATTTCAAGACAATTGTTTGAACCATAAGTCTACGGTCGTTGGATCACTAACGTTATTCTATTCTAGTTTGCTAACCTTCACTGAACGTGCGAAATATTAGATGTCAAGTCAAAGAATGCTTTTCTATAGTTAAGAAATAGAGACAGAGATCCACCACTTAGGGATTGGTAGAGGATGGCTATAGAGAGTCGGTAGAGAGAGAGAAAAGCAATTACTTACCATAAGAGAACAGAAGCACTTGCCTAGACTCGATCCATTATGATCGGGGTGTTATCATACAAATTGATAATCTGATCCCACATTCAATTTTTTATTATTCATATTAATTAATTGCCTTGACATTTTACTGTCCGCATTAAGCTACTTGATAACTATGGAGATCGCATAATATTAAGATAACTATGTTGATAGAAAAAGTAATCTGTAAGGGTTGCGAATAGGGATATAACTAGGTCTAAACCAAACTCTATCATTATCCGATAGAGAAAGCACACCATCAACATTGAGAGGCCAATTGGCTAAAAGTACCCATTCACTGATTATTCAAGTTTCTGAATATCTTTTTTCGACTTCATCAACAGCTAAAGGTTAGTACAAAATTTTTCACGTTTCCACAATTAATTCTGATTATGCATGATTTTTATTCATCCATCAATAATCAAAATCTCCAGTCTTTCGCTATTACTTCTAACAGTCGGTATCAGAGCTTGTTTATATATTTGCCTTAATGATTTTTTGTGGGGTTTTGAATGAATTAAAAATTAGGGTTTTTTTCTGGTCGAGAGAAAAATTGATGCCGATTGGCCAAATTCAGGCGATTCACTACCCGGCTTCAAACCATTACAGTCACACCGCCATGGGCAAGAAAAGCCCGAAGTCAATTCGGCATATCGGTGATCGCGAGAGGCTAATAGCACGGCGAAGGTTGCGGTGGTTAGGGTTTGTGCTTGGCGGAATTTCGCTTGATTCCGGCCAATTCCTTGGCCATTTTCACCGATATTTGGACCTATGTGGTCGCACCGGCGTGGTCTCCAAAACCCATGACTTATTTTGGTCTAAGGTGGGCTATCAAAGGAGACCCAGGCGGCGAAAGGCGCAGCGGAAACGGGAATTGCAAAATCCGTGTGATTCTATGGAGGTGCGTGTGTGCACGGCACACGCTTGCACGACCGTCGGACCCCTTTCTACGATTTTACTATTTTTCCCTTGGCTTCTTGATTTTCCTATTTTGCCCTTGCCTCCTTGATTTTCCTATTAAGCTCATCCATGCAATTCGGTGAATGTTTTGTGCATGAAATTAAATGTCTAGTGATCCATATATAATTTTTCTTAATTAGAGATTAGCCACAACATCTCCAATTATCTTAAATTAGATATTAAGGGCTTTTGGATCACATATAGGAAAGGGACATTGATTGAAATTAATCGTACTAATATAATAATTTTTTTCCCACATTAATTTTTATTATATTAATATGATTAATCAGGATGAAATAGCATATTATTATTCTTAATTTACCCATAGGGATTAAGAAAAGAGAATATAATATGATAGTTTATTCAGAAAGTAATTATGAATCCATTTTAATTAGAAACTTAGCCCATAAGCAGTTTTTTATGTTATTTGATTTATATATTGTGACATATTTTACATTGGTGAAAACATGATTTATGTAAAATTGCCTTAAATTTTGTGACATAAACATGTAGAAAAGAAGGAAATCATTAGTCTTAAGTCAAGAGTGGGCCCCACATTTAACGTTAATAAGTGCTTCTTTAGAGAAGCATGGACAGTTTTGTCTCTAGCAAAATTGAAATAAAAGAAGAAAATGTACACTACAAAAAAACATGGATTTTGCCACGAAAATTTGCGACGGGGAATTTTTCGTCGCTAATTTGCGACGAAATTTACGACGTAATTTTTTTTCCGTCGCAAATTAGCGAAGAAAATTATTCGTCGCTAATTTGCGACGGAATTTGCCACGAAATAAAAATTCGTCGCAAATTTGCGACGGAAAATAAATCCGTCGTAAAATCCGTCGCAAATTTGCGACGGATCTATTTTCCATCGCAAAATCCGTCGCAAATTTGCGACAGATCTATTTTCCGTCGCAAATTTGCGACGGAATTATTTTCCGTCGCAAATTTGCGACGGAATTATTTTCCGTCGCAAATTTGCGACGGATTTATATTCCGTAGCAAATTCCGTCGCAAATTTGCGACGGATTTGCGACGGATTTATTTTTCGTCTCAAATTTGCGACTGATTTTGCGACGGATTCCAAAAATTGTATTGCATTTTCCAATCCGTCGCAAATTTGCGACGAATTTATTTTCCGTCGCAAATTCGTTTAGCGACGAATTTTGCCAAATTTTTCGTCACAAAATTTGTCGCTAAAACCTTGTTTTTTTGTAGTGTTCTAAAACTAAACCTAAGTTCTTCTAAGTCTAATCACGATGATTACCATGTCTCAATCTCTCGTGATAAGGACGAGGACTACATAAGGAATATACTCCATCACAAGACAAACTAAATATTGCCTAATGAAATCAATCTAATGCAAACTAACAATTATTAAATGAAATTCACACTAAATTGGATGATTGTCACAAGTTCAAATTCAAAAGAGATTGGACAATTTGCTACACGTCCAATTCTAAGAGAGATTAGATATTACAAATTCAAATTAGATAAGAAGATCTATTATAAACTCAAGATATTAGATAATCTCTTAAAATGTTCTCGTCCCAAATAAGCTTTTTTAGATTCAATAGGTGCAAATCTTATCTTATTTTTTTTTCAAGACTTAGATATAGATAACACAGATATCTATTTAGTTGAATATGGCGGTTTCCTCCGCACGTAGCTCTTATGTATGCGTAAATATATGGGTAAATAAATTATAGCAATTTTCAAATAGATCGTAATCGGGTGGATGTATGAAATGTAAAGTCAATGTATCTATATGGGGATATCTATAGAAGATCATATAAAAGAGATATTCTTATTTAGACCTAACCAATTTGATCTAACCAATTAGATGAATTACTCCTAAAGGGTTACATCCGAATGATGAGTGAATAGAGGGCATGCATTCTATTAGAGAAATATTTAGAAGATTCCCTATATTTCCTTTAATTGATTGTAATTGATATTTTCCCTTTTAGATAGTCATCCTATAAAACCAATAAATAGGTTCGTGTACTCTTCATTTGACAATGATATATATATTGCTCTTAATTTTTTTTATCACATTCTTGACTTGGTATCAGAGCCATATTGTTATTTGAGAAAGCGTCAATCGAGTCTGTTTGTAACAACGACATCCACATCAGTCATGTTTCTCCACAGTGTTCGTAATGCTAGTCACATCGGCTCATTTTGCAACAACCTCCCGTAGTTGTTTGACATTTCTCTGCTGCTCTAATGAAAAAAAAAAAAAAACATCACCAGACTTGCCGCCCTTAGACGAATTAGATCATGACATTTACTAATTCTTCAAATATGAGTAATGTGTCATTATATGTAAAAGTGTAGAAGCATATCTACTCAAGGTTCCGACGGAATTAGCGACGGATTTGAAAAATTGGTCGGTATAAACATTTCCGTCGCTAATTCCGTTGCAAATTAGCAACGAATTTGAAAAAATGGGCACCATGTGCCACGAAGATCACTTCCGTCGCAAATTTGCGACGGAAAAATAAATGCGATGGAAACAAAATCTGTGACGGAAAAAAAAATCTGTTGCAAAAATTTGCAACGGAAAAAAAATCCGTCGCAAACATTTGCGACGGGAAAAAAAATCCGTCGCAATGTTTGCGACGGGAAAAAAAATCCGTTGCAAATTTGCGACGAAAAAAAAAATCCGTCGCAAAAATTAGCGACGAACTTAAAAGGTTCGTCGCTAAATTTTGCGACGAAATATAAAGTTCGTCGCAAATTTAATTAAAAAAAGAGCGCCCCAAAGCCCTGCCCTCACCCCCAATTTCTCTCTCTCTCGCTCACTGTTCTCCCTCTCTCTCTCCTTCTTTCTCGATCGTATCAGATCTGCTTCCGCTTCTCCTTCTCCTTCTCGCTTCTGCTTCTTCCCTCTCCCCCACACCCCCAAACCTCTCGCGCTCGCTAAGGGTTTTCGGTACCCCCTTCCCCCCGCGCTTCCTCCTCGCCCGTGGCCTCCGGAGCCCTAGAGGCCGCGGAGCCCCAAGGGGCGGCGGCTCCTCCCCCCGTCGAGGGCAAGGAGGAATGGAAACGCAGAAAAACAGGTTCATCGAGGACTGGAGCACGGCGCGCAAGAACCCGGAGCACAACTTCCGGTGGACTCGCCAGAACCTCGCCCTCGTCGGCATCTTCGGCGTCGCCCTCCCCCTCCTGATTCGATTTGATCGTTATTCGTGAAATCATGTCCGTCGTGGACCTTCGGTTCGCACGGGGTGGTTCTGATTAGCCTTCAGGTCCGACACTGATTGCAACATTTGATTGCGGTGGTGATTCGTTCATCTCCTCTGGTGACTTCTTCGGCCGGAGGGGCTGCGGACTGAGAGGGGTTTGGCAATGGGGAAGATCACGAATGGACTTGTGTTGCCGATGCTTCTTTTGACAGGTACCGTCTTACTTGTCGAAGTTTACCCGAGAATTTTGATGGTGATGGTGCATGGCAGCTCTGGGATGACAAGGTCAAGGTTATGGCGACGTAGTTGTGTTCACTAATAGAGATTCACTGAGATCGTTTTTGGTTATACGGGGGATTAGTTATTAATCGTTGTGTGCTTATGCATAGGTATAGTAATGTATCTGTTCGGTGTGATGATGGACAGTGTATCTGTTCGGTGTGACTCGGTTGTTTTAGGCTGTCATTTCGATCATGCTGCACATATACAGTATGGTATTGAAGGAATAAGCAAAATAAAGGTCCTGAGATTGAGTTATTAATGATCTATTTTGGTCGATGGGATCCTAAAGATTTTAGGTTTTGGTCAATTGTACGCATGATGCAGCAACCTTTAATAATTCAAGATGTGAGTTTAATATTGCGCTGTACTCTAACAAGCTAAGTTTCTGGAGTAATTGGTTGTGCATGTAATTTATTTAACACTTCACTCAGAGAAGTAGGAGTAGAGAAACCGCACAACAAGTCGGTGTTTGCTTTGAATGGGTTATCATGATGAACATGATTCCCCAGGGGTTTCTTATAATGTTACTACTTGCCTCTCTAATGGAACTTCATTTTCTTTCATGATCTCTCCAGCTGCTTTACTCAGTTCGAATCTGATATCTCTGGTCGATTTGTTGGCTTTTCTTATCATGCAGTTCGATGGTTCAAAAGCAGGTAAAAAGCTATGCTAATGTTTCTTTTCGCAATGTATTCATCTCCTAGTCAATACCATCGTAGGAGATGTTTTGGTATTAACATTATTGTCGCTTATCTATCTTGGACTGCTTTTTATCCTTGAAACAGCACAAAAGGAAATGTTGTTTTGAGTTTACCTTTTAATCATCCTTGTCTTCTGTGGGGAGTGGAGGTGCTACTTGCCTAATTGACTTTGTATTGGACTTCACTTTCACTCTTTGGTACTTTTTTGAACAGATTGTATTCCTATGCCCCCTCTACGTCTCTTTTACTCGTGCTGTCTACGTCCCCTCTACTTGAGCCATTGAAAAAGTTAGTTATTTGAATGCAGTGATACCTGCTTAGAATCATGCATTTGTGGAAAGTCATGTGTATTGTTCTTTGCACGTTGCGGGTGCTGGAAGCACTCCACTTCATTATGCCGCTTGTGGTGGAAGTGTGCAGTGTTGTCAAGTATTTTGTGGTAGCTAAAAGATAAATAGCATCCAATATCATTCTTTATTTTGTTCGTCTCACTTACATAAATGTTTTTTTTTGTGGTGGAAGTGTGCAGTTGTGGACAGTGAACCAATTTGGAACACCTACGTTGCACCTTTGTTTCTTTACTTCTATTAGATTTATCACTGAAAGTGAACTTCAACATTTTTCCTCTATATTTCATTTAACTTCGTTGCTTTACTTAATTAAGATTGCGATTGCTATCATCATGTATCCTTTAGAAGCTGAATATATTAACATTTAATGTGGAAACAATGTCACTAATTTTGTGTCTAATTCCAGACAATTTATGTTTTGTAGAAGGACGGCTTTGAGCAATTCTGCATAAGTTATGCAAATGAGAGGTTGCAACAACATTTCAAGCGGCATTTGTTAAAACTGGAGCAGGAAGTGAGCATCTCACATGGACCGTGTCTTTAGTTTTGTTCAGTATTTTATATGATGGGGATTGTCGCTAAAAGCAGGATATTCTTTTTTGATTCAAATCTGTCGTCATTATTTATTGTGCAAGATTATTTATTCTCTCATTATGTGTACTATAAAGAAAAATATTTATGTCATTCTTGTGGAAAATGTAGATGAATGTATTTCATTTTCATATTATTATAATATTTTGATGTTATTAAGTGCTTAATCAATGTTAAATATAAATTTCAAAAATTAATTTTTCTTTTAATTAGGTTTAAAATCAAAAAATAAAATAAATGATATTATCGTACGATCACAAATTACAAAAGTTCGTTGCAAAAATAAAATTTCGTCACTGATTTCGTCCCTAAACGATAATCGTCGCAGAGTTCGTCACTAAAGAATTAATAAAAAATCGTCGCTAAATTCGTTCATAAATAATGTTGATGGCAAATGTAAAAAAATTTGGTGGCAAATTAGCGACGAATTTTGTCACGAATAAGTTCGCTGCAAATTACTGACCAAAAATTTTTTTTTGGCAAATTAGCGACAAATTTTGCGACGAAAGCGACGAAATTTGCGACGAATTTTGCGACGAAATGTGCGACTACATTTGCGACGAAATTTGCGATGAATAAAGTTCGTGGCTAATTTGCGACGAATTTTGTGACGAATTATTTGCGATGAATTTTGCAACGAAATTTGCGACGAAATTTGCAACGAATTTTGCGACGAATTATTTGCGATGAATTTTGCAACGAAATTTGCGACGAAATTTGCAACGAATTTTGCGATGAATTTCGCTACGAATTTTGCGACGAATAAAGTTCGTGGCTAATTTGCGACGAATTTTGCGATGGATAGTGTTCGTGGCTAATTTGCGACGAATTTTGCGACGAATTATTTGCGACGAATTATTTGCGACGAATTTTATTCCGTCACAAATTTGCGACGGAAATTGAAATTTTCCGTCGCAAAATTTTGCGACGACCTATTTGCGACGGAATTCTTTCCGTCGCTAAATTCGTCGCAAATTCGATTTGCGACGGATTTTTCCAAATTTTTCGTCGCAAAATTGGTTGCAAAAATCATGTTTTTTTGTAGTGGTAAGAAATAATCTTAAATCAAGAATAGGGCCTGCAAGGGATAATGTAGTTAATTTAATGTGATGGAGCGTGTCAAGAGCCAATAAGATGATAGAAATAACGCGAGCCATTAAGGCTAATCATTATACCTCATTTATTCTGAAAACCCACTTTTATACATGAGAAATGTGAAGTGTACAAAGATTGATTTACAAAATTAGTTTATTAAGTGTTGCGACTGATTTATAGTGATAGTCAAATACCATCCACTTGTTTAAAAAATCACTTACAAAATTATCAATGCTGTGCATCGCCTCCTCCTTCAACCGCCACCGCAAGGCTACGATAACGGTGGGTGGCCGCAGATATGAGGTCGTTAATCTTCATTGGAGGCCTCTGATAGAGATGAGTACTCGTTCGTTTAAGGTTTAATTAACGTACTTTCAAATTGTCTTACAAGCACAAAAGCGTGGGGGTTTGGTCACACGTTTGCTGGCTTCTTTTGAATTCCCATAATGATGGTCAACTTTTAAGCGGAGGTCGTCTTAAAGATATTCGTTTTGTTTCCTTCTTTCAGGAAGAAAATCCCGTGTTCACAATCTATTCCTATATTATATCTTCTCGCACTATAAATGTGCGTACTCGTTTTCTTCATCTTGACTCTTGACCCTTGGATACAGTCAAACTTAGGGCACTATATAATGCATGAAATGAAACAGCTACGTTGCCAACTCGAACAACCAAAACTAGCTTTGTTGTTTCTCTTCCTTAGTCGCCGAACCTATCATTCCCTTCCCAATTCCTACCGCCATGGCCTTAACCCTAACCAAGCTCTTTCTCTTCTCATTCCTTGTTTCTTCCACCGTACTCACCGCGAGATCCGAACTCCTAACCTCCAAGCGCGAGAAGCTCACTCACTTCCGCGTGTACGTGCAGGACAAAATCGCCGGGAGCAATGCCACCGTCGTAACCGTAGCCCAGGCATCGACGACCAACCAGTCCGCCACGTCATTCGGTCTAGTAAGGGTTTTCGACGATGCGTTGACTGTGGGTCCCGAGATGAGCTCCAAGAACGTGGGTGTGGTACAAGGCATGGCGGCATTTGCATCCCAAAGTGAGATGGCCTTGTCGATGTCCCTGAACTTCGTGTTCACGGCGGGGAAGTACAACGGGAGCAGTTTGACCGTTGTGGGGAGGAACATGTTGTCGTTGAAGGTGAGGGAAATGCCTATTGTTGGTGGAACTGGTCTTTTCCGGTTGGCCCGGGGTTATGTTCAGACTAGCACTTACTCGTTGGACCTGAAGAATGGACTCGTCGTTCTTGTGTATGATTTCTCTGTGTACCACTCACTATTGACGGTTTCGCTAGGTTAAGCTTGGGAGTTGTTTTTGTTTGGTTTAACAACAATAAAAACTTAACTAAAATCGAAGTAGAGAGCATGAAAATGTTTTATGAAAAGTTTGGAAGAGTTTCTTGTAATTCTGTCGACAGTGTATGATTAGAAATCGGTCCAGCTCTCTTGTTACTGAGAGTTTTGTTTTCAACAAGCCAATTTTCATTCTTTCTCCAACATAGGATGAGACATTGCGGAACGATAGGATTAATTTTGTTGTAAGTGACAAGACAGCGCAACAATAGCCCAACAAAACGGGACACAACAGAGCGAATAGCAAATGAAGACCACACGCACAACATTTGCGATCTACGAGATGAGATCCTTCGCACCATCAGTTTTTTCGTTCCATTTTTCATTCATCCGATCCATCCCACAGTGATGTTTATAACTGAAGTATTAAAAGTTGAGATTTATTGAGAAACCGACGGAGAAATGGATCCTCGTACATAATTTACATTGGCGGAACTTTGTACCTGCATCATCCCGAGAAATTTATCATATTGTGTACGCAGGTCGCGAGCAAATGGGGCACAGAGACCCTGTGATCTCCGGACGTGTGTGATTATTTGACTGGTAAAGATTGAAACAGTACATTTATCATCATAGTGTTCACCGGCATGCCTGACCAACTTTATACACAGCTTATAGACACTGGAAACAATATCATCTTGACCATAACATATACTATACATATGGCCAAATATGGCCAGTAAGGGAAATTAACAATGTTTGTTGTGGTCGATCAAGTACGACCAACTTATTTGGTTAATGTTTCCCTTAAAAACCGTTGAAGTGGAGGCCACCCGTCTAACACCCGTGACCCGACAATGTCGTGACTCTTCGACCAGTATAATTTGTCGTCATCTGTTTTTGGTCATCACTACTCCCATTTGTATAATATGGAGATGGAATGATTCGTAATGCTAAAAGCTTAAAGTATTTGTTTTATTAATGAAGCAAAGACAATTTATTCTGGTCACTAGTGTTGTTTCTTTTGTGCTTTGTAACCAAAAAATATAGACAAAGATAATAACTTTGAAAAAGTGATAACAAATTTAATAACAATCGAGCCAATGTTTATATAATCTTGACAAATAAAGATGACTGAATAACACACCAAATATAGACTTGCTAGATACTATAAAATCGAAGAAGAAAAAACATAATCTTCTTAAGGCGATTAGTTCCTATCATCAGTGTTTTGCATATTTGTGAACTATGCCTCTAAAGATACAACACCTCAAGCCCGTTTGTATTAGCACTATACGAACAGGATTCTGTCGAACATTTCTCAAAATTGGTACATCTAGAGCACGAACTCTAAAGAACTAAATAGACACTTCTTATTAAAAACAAAGAACCCTCTTCATGTGAACTCAAGAGACATCTATTAAACTGTTGCACATGAACTGAAGAAATGATAATTAAATCCTCTACACGCGAATTGAAGAGATAACTATTAAATCTTTTGCACGTGAACTGAAGAAGAGACATCTCATTAATGTTGAGTCATTATTAACTTATAATTACAACAAGCAGAGCTTCTTTAGCGCTATGAGTATGTTCATGTTAATCAAAATGAATGATTAATACTTAAGAAGTCGTCGGATGGAACGAAATTTCATTGGCTAAAAATTATTGTAAGTCAAATTTGTAATTGAAGAAAATACTCGCCAAACTATCAATGTTGCTCAATATTGTCTTTGCAATCAATGGCTAATGCATATCCAATGCAGAAGTTTTACCTTGGAAATCAGATAAACGGATCATCCCGTTCTCAAATTATATTGTGTGGCCTAGATGGGTTCATCTCTTTCATCAAAATGAAAGAGAAGGCCGATGCGTTGAGTTTGTTCATCAGCCTAGTTAACAAGCCGATCTGCCCAATCTGAACTTACAAAACATTAAAAAGGTTTTATTAATCCTTAATTCCAGAGGGTATGTAACATTTGCGTATAGGCCCGTCTTGTTTTTGTTGACGTCACTACAAAAAAACAAGGATTTAGCTACGGAAAATTAGCGGCGAAAAATTATTCGTCGCTAATTAGCGACGAAAGAAAATTCGTCGCTAATTTGCAATAGAATTTGCGACGAAAAATTTTCCGTGGCTAATTTGCGACGGAATTTGCAAGGAAAAATTTTCCGTGACTAATTTGCAACGGAAAATTTTCAGTGGCTAATTTGCGACGGAATTTGCAACGAAAAATTTTCCGTGGCTAATTTGCGACGAAAAATTTTCCGTGGCTAATTTACAACGGAATTTGTGACAAAAAACACGGATTTAGCCACGGAAATAAATATAGTACGAAAATACCGCGATACTTAATTTCCGTGGCTAATTAGCCACGGATTTAGCCATGAAAATAAATATAGTCGGGAAATGCCACGATACTTAATTTCCGTGGCTAAATCCGTGGCTAATTAGCCACGGATTTAGCCACGGAAATAAATATAGTAGGGAAATGCCGCGATACTTAATTTCCGTTGCTAAATCCGTGGCTAATTAGCCATGAATTTAGCCACGGAAATTAATATAGTCAGGAAATGCCGCGATACTTAATTTCCGTGGCTAATTAGCCACGGATTTGGACACGGATCGCTAAATTTTTTTATATGCCCCCCTCACCCCGATTTTCTCTCTCTCTGTTCTCTCTCCCTATCCCCACCCCCAAACCTCTCAATTCGCGCGGCTAAGGATCGGTTGTTGGCTCACCTCAGTCGGGTACTTATTGTTTCGATCTGGATTAAGTGTCTATCTGGCTCGTAGCGTTAGGACTAAGACTCCGTTTCATTCACATTTGATATCTCGAGTCCAAAGGGACAAAAGCAGAGTGGGCTGTTTCATGTCTCAGAATGAGATCATGATGACTGTCTTCCCCATGTTCCAACAGCATATCGAGCCCCATCTTGTTCATGCACATGTAAGTGAATCTGGGATTATAAGGCCGAAATGTTTAATTTTAAGTGAATTTTTCCTAATTTGCTCTATCATTTAGATAATTTGCCTTGGAGAAATATGAACTGTTAGATGCTCCTTTGTTCTAATTGTCTTCTTTGAGGGTTAACTTTGGTCCTGCATTGCAGCTCAAAATTCGGAATGACTTTGACCCGGTACTTTCTCCTGAGAGTTCACTGTTTCTTTTGAAGAGCAACAAACAAGTAATAGCACTACAATGACTCTATTGCTCCTATCTTGAATATTTATTTGTTATGTACAATGAAATAAAATGCCCTTCTATACTAGGTGGCTTATCAAGATATTCTAAAAATTCTGGACCGTGCAAAGATCTGCAGTTCTGCTCAAAATTTCATTGATATATACTTGCGGCTTCCTGGAATTCCTGCTAATGGACAGTTGCAAGAGAGTGACTGCATAAGAGTCAGGATATGTGAGGGCAGATTCGCCGTACTGATACGGGAGGTTTGTGATGAAGTTGCAACTATCATCTTTCTACTTGCTATAGCTAACGGAAATACTAGCTTCTCATTCTCTTCTAAACAATATATGTCAGCCTATAAGGGAAGGCAATTTCATTATTCAACCCAAAGTAGATTTTGATATCAGCGTCAGTACAGTTGCTGGTCTCTTGAACCTTGGGTGAGTTATATAATAGCTGGTCTAATTTACTAACTCCTTTATTTACTGCAGAATTTTATATCAATTGAAATTTAAGTTTTGTAAGATCTTGTAATGTATCCTTATTCTCGTGATCTAATGCTAGTGAGCTTGACATGGTTGTGTTCTCTCAAAGTAGATAGCGGGGACTCTGTCTGAGTAATGCTTATTTAAAAGTTTTCTTATATAATAACTTTAGGATCTCTTACTATCAATAGTTCTGGGTACATAGGAAGGTGTTCATTTTTTTGAGTTTCTACTGGATATTGATGCCTTTAGAGTGATAATTGAACAAAAAAATGATCCATTTAAAGTTTTCATGCCATATACTGACCTTAGATTAGTGTGTAGAAGCCATCCTTAGTTTTGACTGTTGTGGATTTTCTTGAATTTTTATAACTGTCTGCTCAGGAGCATTTTCTTATATGCGGGAGTGACAGTAGAATTGATGGTTCTTGTTTTCTGGTTATGTGCGAGAATATGCCAAATGCTGAATAGGGTGGTGTCTGCTGTATATTCTCATGCGAGAGAAACCTAGTCTGTAGAAGTTTCTTGATATTGATTTCTGATTCTTGAGGAAGAACTGTAGTTTTGTCTCTCGTTGGGTGGAACAGTTTGGAATGCCTAAACGAGGAAAAGCTTTGAGGATAGAAAATGATGTTGATTTTAGAGAGATTTGTTAAGTATCCAACATTGTTTGTTTTTGGGTCTTGACTGGGCCTTATGTACACGTTATCTCCTTCCACCTAATAGTTTAAGCTTTTGGGTTTAATATCTTAACAAAACATTCATATTTTTATTTCACCTGTGGTCCTTGTCTGTCTAACCGCTTTCATCATTACACTTCCCGTTTGCACCTGAAAGGGTATATTCAATGTCCTATATCACTTGTCTACCAGGCTTGTTAAGGCCTTATATATATTTTCCCTAGGCCGTATAGCTTAAGGGCATGTCTACAAGGTATATTTAGGCCTTGTCTCTCTACACCTTATAGCTTACTGTGCACTCATTTGACCATTTTAAACCCAAAACACCTAACACTTTCATAATGACAGAAATGTTGACACATACATCAGCGTTTAGTTTTTTCATTACTTTTTGAAATTTGGATGTTATTTAAATTTTGCCGGGAAAGGAAGAAGGTAGTTTTTGCCTATGCTAAAATGGAAGTGAACAAGCTCTAAGTTTTGGGTTGGATAATCTGACAAAACTTTTCTAGAAATGGACCTGTGAATGTGGTGAAAGCTTTAGTATTTCCTTAGCTAGTAAGACTTTCCGCGCTAACAGAAGTATAATTACCAATAGTTCGAGGGCAGTGTCAGGAAAACTTCTCTCATTCTTTGATCACTTACTGAGATGATTGTCTAAGGCAGTTCAAACCTTGCATTGGACCCTCCAAGCTAAGAATTTCAGAGTTATTCATAGGAGTCACAACTCATGTCTTCTTCTGCAAGGAATGGAAAGGTGAAATGAAGACACCTGCATCTTCTAGCCAGGATACGACTCGATGGAACATAACCTGTCGGGCATACATAAGTTTGTTTATTGATCTTTGATCAGGGGAGAAAGCTTTTCTCTTTTCTGACATTAAGACTTGTAGTAGCTTGATACAGTTTTATAAGAAATTAGATTCAACTTCCATAGTTCCAAGAGAAAATGGTTCTTGGACTTCTTACCACTTGCTTCAAGAAGTTTTACATTAAAGTGTTTGGACAAAGAGAGATGTTGTGATCTATATCTCACAGCAATTTAAGAGGTGCCTTTCCCTCTTCTCCTTCTCCTATTCTTTATGTGGAAACAACTTTTGTGTCTGTGTCCTTGTTCATTATCTTTGAGTATTGAAGCTGTGGTGAGAGTGAGGAAAAAGCCTCTATGGAGAGATAGAAGAAGACTGATCCCATTTGATTGCCCTCCCCAAACCTCACAAATAGGAGCCTCGGTTGCTGCAAAACTTTTTGGAATTACTAAACAACTATTCTTTCTTTTACATGTCCCACACGTGTGCATTCCTCATTTAAATTTTTACCTTTATCTGCTACTTTGAAGAGCTCTTCATACATGCACAACTGTTATGGATGCACTCTACCTTCCCTGTGTTTTGGGTTCGGTCCACTTGTAGCTGGTGGCTTTGGTTTGGCAATCTGTTAATAAGACTCTCTCTTTCTCCCTTGTCTTCTCCAGGTATCAAGCTGTGGCATATATCGAAGCTTCGGCCTTCATATATCAAGATGGGAAGGTTATAATAGCTGACAACCTTTTATTTTCCTTTCCTTGCTGGGTACAATAGTTGACAGCTTATTAGTAGGCAAAACTTCTTGCATCTTTTATATGTGCTCAATTTGATATGTTCACTAAGTGGCATTCGATCTATGTGTAACTGGGGTCTTTTCATTTTGCTGACTTTTGGAGCTTGCTTATTTAGTCCTGTTTTCTCTGTATGTGCAAATTCTATGCAGTTAATCTCGCGAACAATCTCTGTTTGTTTCACGGAAAAAGAATGATTTGAAAAATATTTTTTCAAAAATGATTGCTTATATCGCTTGAAATAATTAGCCAATGAAAAATATTTTCATTATCGACAATAATTTATGTCTAAACATTTTCTTGAACGATAAAAAAAAATTTTGTTCATTCCTTTTGTAAGCTATATATAAACGATTATTTTTAGGAAAATGTTATCGTTCAGTTTCAGTGAAAGAAACGGAGTCTTAGTTGCAGCTTTTTTTTTGCCACTTGAATTTTGCGACGAATACAGTTCGTGGCAAATTAGCCACGAATTTTTTTTTTATAAAAAAAATAGAATATTTTTTTTTGTTTTTTCGGGGCAAATTAGCCACGAATTTTGCCACAAATATTTCTTTTGTTTTTTCGGGGCAAATTAGCGACGAATACAGTTCCTTTCCAAATTAACCACGAATTTTGCCACGAATGTTTTTTATAAAAAAATTAGAATATTTTTTTTTGTTTTTTCAGGACAAATTAGCAATAAATTTTGCGACGAATACAGTTCGTGGCAAATTAGCCACGAATTTTGCCACGAATTTTTTTTATAAAAAAATATAATATTTTTTTTGTTTTTTAGGGGCAAATTAGCGACGAATTTTGCGACGAATACAGTTCGTGGCAAGTTAGCCACGAATTTTTTTTTATAAAAAAATAGAATATTTTTTTTTGTTTTTTCGGTGTAAATTAGCGACGAATTTTGCGACGAATACAATTCGTGGCAAATTAACCACGAATTTTGCCACGAATTGTTTTTTATAAAAAAAAAATAGAATATTTTTTTTGTTTTTTAGGGGCAAATTAGCAATGAATACAGTTCGTGGCAAATTAGCCACAATTTTTTTTTATAAAAATTTTTTCGGGGCAAATTAGCGACAAATTTTGCAACGAATACAGTTTGTGGCAAATTAGCCACGAATTTTGCCACGAATAATTAGCGACGAATACAATTCGTGGCAAATTAGCCACGAATTTTGCCAAGAATAATTAGCGACGAATTTTGCCACGAATATTTTTTCGTCGCAATTTAGCGACGAAAATTGAAATTTTTCGTAGCTAAATTTTGCGACGCCGTATTAGCGACGAAATTTTTTTCGTCGCAAATTCATTTAGCGACGAAATTTTTTTCGTCGCAGATTCATTTAGCGACGAATTTTGCCAAATTTTTCGTGGCAAAATTCGTGACCAAAACCTTATTTTTTTGTAGTGCGTGTAATCTAAACTTAAACTCTCATTATTTGTATTTAAGTCGGGAAAGTTTCTTAATTAAACCTCATAGCACAATCATTAGATATAAGACAGGGATATTATCGGCAACAATCACGTGGGTATTAGCTTCTTCATGACGCTGAGGTTTTCCAATTAATTGGTACTACGTTAGGTGAACAAAAATTAAAACCTCATTGGCCACCTCTATGGTTAGCTCAGTGGTAAATGGGTCACTTATTTTACATAAGGTCACGAGCTCGATTCATGTCATAAGTGAATCTTTCAATGGCTCGTTCTAAGCTATGTAGCTACGCATATCTCACATCGGACTCACCGACCTCAGATCCTCGATTTGTGAGTGGTACGGTGCAGCTATAGCTCAAGCGGAACGTTCCATAGCAGATGTAGAACCCTTATGGTGACAGAGGAGATCATAGCGATAGTCGGCTCACTCTACCCTTTTTACTTGTCAAAACGAAAAAATAGCATTGCCAACGAGAATAAATTTTGAAATTAACGAAGTCAGTACTGGAAAAAATGTTTGTTTCGGTCATCCAGGTTAGTTGTCAAGACAGTCTATGAGATGATCCTTATGGGTTATGAGATTTGATGATTTAACGATCCTTGAACTTTGGCTTAATATGTAATTTGTTTCTTGAATTTTTAATTTATTAACCCAATGCGTAATGTGATCCATATACTTTTAATGTGTTCAATGTCATCCCTGAATTTTTAATACATGTTCAATTCAATCCCTAAACTATGTGAAAATGTTCAATGTAATCCTTCCATTAATTCAAGTTCAGAGACTACATTGAACATTTTCATATAGTTCGGGGATTACATTGAATATATAACAAATATTCAGGAACCACATCGAACAAATTAAAAGTTCAAAGACTATACTGAATATTAGGCTAAAATTCAAGGGCTACATTAAATAAATTAAAAAGTTTAAGGGCCACATTGCATATTGTGCTAAAGTTCAGGGATTGTTTGTGTCAATATCTACGGATTCTATTTCTCGTTGGGTAACTGATAGATTATACCACCAATGCAAACATATTCAAGATTTTCCTTTTTTATTTCTTTTCAGTTGCTAGACTTTTCTTCTTCTTTTTCTTGTGATTGTAATTTCTTTTATTTTCAATTTCTCAGAAGTACGCGAACATAATTCTGAGTTATTATAATGACATCTAACATCAATAATTTTCTTTTATACCACCGATGCAAACATATTCTAGCTTTGTTATCTATCTGCCGCAGTCACCACGTCTAGCGAATCATTCCCTACGCAATTCCCACGCCATGGCCTTAACCCTCACGAAGCTCTTTCTCTTCTCATTCATTGTTTCGTCCACCGCACTCCCTACGAAATCCGAACTCCTAAGCTCCGAGCGAGAGAAGCTCACTCGCTTTCGCGTGTGCGTGCAGAACGCAATCGCCCGGAGTAACGACACCGTCGGAACCGTGGCCCAAGCGTCGATGACCAACTAGTCTGCCACGTTAATTATTTTCTCTTCTTCTTTTTTTTCCTTCCGATCGCGGGCAAGGGCCGGCCTTGGCAAAGGCCCTGGGCAAGGGCCTTCAAGGCCTTGTCCGCGGCCAGTAGGGCCACGATGGCCTCGCCCAAGGCCATTGCAACCTCGGCGGCCTCGGCCCGCGAGCAAGGCCTCGAAGGCCCTCTCACCCGTGGCTAGCGAGGCGACAATGGCTTCACCCCAGGCCACCCCACTTGTGGCCGGCGAGGCTGCGATGGCCTTGCCCAAGGCCATCAATGCCTTGCCAGTCGCGAGCGAGTTCACAAAGGATCACAACAGCCCTGGCTGGCCAAAAAAAAAGAAAAAATAATAATAAATTCAAAATATTATTAAAATATTATTAAGAATGTGCACGTCAGCGTTGACTATGCCACATAGGACAGCTATCATCCACATCGGTGATTTCCGATCAAAATAGATCGGGTGGACTCAATTGGCACAAATGAAAAAGTTTAAAACTAAATTTGTACAATTAAAAAGTTTAAAACTGTATTACTATCAATGCCATAGATTTATGATTTTTTTTGTACTTTTCCCGCCTCCAACCCATCAAGAAAATCAAGCGAATATATGACGATGACAGTACACTGATACATTAATTAGTCTTTTATAAGGACTTTCGATCATGATGCATCATGAATGTGCCAATATGTGATTGGGGTGAGCGGAGGTTAGATATCGGGCGGCTTCATCACCTTGGTTTGGAACGAAGGGTTTTGCTTTTTGACGCCCACCGAAGAAAACGCTCACTTCTTCCTCCATGTCATAAAAAACCCCCCTTTCTAGTTTCCTTGTTATTTTGGCCTAATACCCTAAAAAATTTCTAACTTTTAAGTCTAATCTCAACTTTATTCTAAAAAAAAATTTTATCCCATAAAATATCCCAAACTTTAGTTTTAGGCTTAATTTTACCTTAAACTTTTTTTTTGTTTTGTAATAAATCACATACTTTTACTTGAGTCCCAAATCTATCCCCGTTAACCCTCTATCAAAATTTCTCTTGACAACCAAGAGGTGGAAAACTCGCAAGAGCAAGTTTTTCAAGCATCCTGAGTCGAGTGTCTTGAGCACGAGCTCTCTTACCGCGAGAGATGGAAGACTCCCGACCATGAGAAACTGAAGACTAAGTGCAAAATCGAAAATCGATGGAAAGAAGACTCTCTTAAAAGTAAGAGCAATTGAAGGTAGCCAACCCTAATTACCATCGGTCGAAGCGCAGTGTTTCACCTAGATTTGAGCGAGGCCATCACGGTCGTGGGAGAAGGTAGCGTCGCTCGCAGCTGGCGAGACCATGGCCGCCTTCACCTGTGGCCAACAAGGCCTCCTTCACCCTTGGCCAATGAGGGCTTCATAATCCTCACCCAGTGGCCGGCGAGCTCCGACCACCCTCGTTGGCCACGGTGGAAAACAAAAAAAGGAAAGAAGGAAGGAAAAATGAAAAAGAAAATAAAGATTAAAAAATTCAAAAAAAAATTAAAAAATTTAAAAAAATTGTCCACGTCAACAACAGTCGTGCCATGTCAGATGCCCGTCATCCACGTCACTGATTTCCAGCCAATTGAAATTTTTAGGATTGAATTGACATAAATACAATAGGTTTATGACTTTTTTTTGTAATTATCACTAATTAGCTTCGTTCCCTTCGGTCGATGTAGGAGAGTATTAGGGTAAAAGGCCGGAATGTTGTGTCTAATGGGTGGGCCGGAAGCCCAGTTCATTACAAAAGCTCGACGTTATTGCAATGTTGGGCCTTCGTTATGATAGAGCGTGGACGATGTATGCCCGATCGCATCCGACCCTGACCGGATCATATAGAAATTTATTTCTGATTTCTATCCACTTCAGGATTTGATTCGGCGGCTTAGGGATGAAAACTTAATACCCCATGGGGAAGGTTGGAGAGTGGCAGTGAAAATGACCGGGAGTATGGAGGAGGCTGTCTCCCACTTTCTCAGAGTAAAAAACTCCTCCAATTTCTCTTTCAAAGTACATCGTATTCTCGTATCATGTCGTATTTTATAGCAACACGACACGTTGGAAATGTTAAATCGTGTATTGTACGGAAAAAGTACATGTACAATAATATGCAACACACACACACACACAACCCTGGACTGATCGAGGACCGATAAGATATGTCGTGTTCATGCAACATTCAAATCAGGAAATTACTTTGGATAAGAGCA